GGGAAAGAGAGACATTAACACTAGTCGTGAATCTTTATTACATTTAAAGATGATGAGAAGCAACTGATGCATGTGGAGCCCATCCATGCAGATGTTTTGTTGGAAACTTACAAGAGAAAGATTGCTGATGAAGGGAGGCTCTTCCTGGCTGAATTCCAGGTGTGTGCTCTTCTTGATATGTGATGAGAAAGTTTACTCTGTTATCAACGTAATTCACCTTAAATGTATTGTATAACCATTTGCCTTGATAGTTTATCCCACATAATAGTGCAACGGGGTCAAAGCAGCTATTTATTAGCAGATATTTGCAGACCAGAAGATCATTGTCATAAAACTAGTCAACATTTCAAGATAATGCTGCCTCATTGTATGAATACTAGTTATGAAGCTGTATCTCGAAACGCATTTGGCGGATTTTGTCCTTGTGCTCTAGGTAATCATCCAAGTGTGTTTTTCAGTGAATTTTAAAGTGGCAGAGCAATAACTGCTAAATTTGCTCTCCCTCATGGGATTTATTTTCCAAGTAGCCTATCAATCATTTTTCTTAAAGAGTGTTTTTTGCATAATTCCTAATAATGTTCATTTATTACCATATGCAACTTGTTTATCGGTGTAAAGGAAATACGTTCCAGGAGGTGTCATTTGTTCAAAAGGATAAGCAGCAAGGGGAAATGGTTTTTCTTGAATGTGACCCAAAGGATCTTTGTGTCTTTCAGAGCATTCCGAGGGTATTTGGCAAGTTTTCTATCAAGGATGCTCGAAAACCCTTTAACCAGAATAAAAACCGTTACGTTGACATCCTTCCTTGTAAGTGCTCATCAAGAACTGGATTTCCATACATTTGGGCTACTTGATTATTCATGATTTCACTCATTTAATATTTCTTTTCTTTGAACAGATGATTATAACCGTGTTGAACTCTCTGACATAAACGGAGATGCAGGGTCCAACTATATCAATGCCAGCTATATTGATGTGAGTAAAAAATGCATAACAGCCAGATGGTTTTATATCTTCATCATTTTGTCTCTGACTATTTTCATTCTTCTGGTATCTATGCATTCTGTTCAGCTCCTTCTTTGTCATGGCAAATTTTTATTTGTTTAAATTTTTTATTTTTTAAAAATTTCATTGGAATATAGTTGATTTACACTGTTGTGTTAGTTTCAGGTATACAGCAAAGTGAATCAGTTATACATATATCCTCTCATGGAAAATTTTTAGAAATATTATTTGAAATGATTTGAAGGAAGCTCATAAATACCATTGATATAAACAACAAAATCACTAATATTTGCAAGAATAGTTATTTATTATTTGTTATTGGTGCTAGGTAATATAGGATTTTTCTTTCCAAACAGAATGATAACTAAGAATTAAAATACTCTTGTACCTGTTATACACTGGATATTATCTAAATTATCTATGTGTGTATTTCTCATAAGAGCCCCATCTTTGCCCTTCACCATAGAGGATAGGATTGGGAGGCTGTGGTTAATTTGGTACTTTTGGCCTTTTCTTTTTTATTTATTTATTATTTTTGGCTGTGTTGGGTCTTTGTTGCTGCACGCGGGCTTTCTCTAGTTGCGGCGAGCGGGGGCTACTCTTCGTTGCGGTGTGCGGGCTTCTCATTGCGGTGGCTTCTCTTGTTGCGGAGCACAGGCTCCAGGCCCGTGGGCTTCAGTAGTTGTGGCTCACAGGTTCTAGAGCACAGGCTCAGTAGTTGTGGCTCACGGGCTTATTTACTCCGTGGCATGTGTGATCTTCCCGGACCAGGGCTCGAACCCGTGTGCCCTGCACTGGCAGGCAGATTCTTAACCACTGTGCCACCAGGGAAGTCCCTGCCCTTTTTCAATTAGTAACAGTATGAGGATATAGTGCATGGTTAATTTATCTAAAATGTTTAAAAATGTAATTTATTAAACAATTGTTCAGTAAGTAATGCATCACATGAATTTTAAAAAAAATAAGCAGTATAAAAACACAGAGAGGCTTAAAAACAATTCCTCCCACCCAATCCACTATTTACCCAGTGCCTCCACCTACCTTAAAAGGTAACCTCTATGTTGTTTGCTATTTATCCAGCGGGAGTTTTTTAATACACAAACAAGAAAACACCAATATTTGTTACCCCCTCCTTTATCCAAAAATGTTAATGTAATATTCATGCTGTTCTGTATAATGCTTCATTTACTTAAAACATATATCTTGGATACATAAAATATCACTGTAAAAAGCAGGGACTGGCAAGCTTTCTCTGTAAGGGGCCAGATAACAAATATTTGGGGTTTTGCCGGACATACCATCTCTGACACAGCTACTCAGTTCTGAAGCCCAGTGACTACACTTCTATAAAAAATACATAATGTGGCTGTTCCGAAAAACAAACTGCATTTACAAAATCAGGCCATGCTGATTTGACCCACAGGCTGTAGGTTGCTGGCTCTGAACACCGAACATTTCTACATCTTTCTTTAATATTTTTACAGTAATTCTTGGCATAGCTGCATTGTGATGTATTTAATCAGTTCCTATAGTAACAAGCGTTAAATATGCTTTCTAATCTACTATTACAAACAATGGTTTAATGAATAATCTTGACTCATATTATTTCTCAATGAGTTTTAGCATATCTGTAGGATAAATTCCTCAGAGAAGAACTGCTGGCTCAAAGGGAATATGCATTCGTAATTTTAAAAGACATTTCCAAATAGTCCTCCACTGGGGTTGTACCCAGATACGTTCTACCAGCAAAGTATGAGTGTTTATTTCCACACAGACTGCCAAAACAGTGACTATCGAAAATTGTTTTTGACAATCAAACAGTTGACAAACTGTCTCATACTATCATCCATGCTGGTTTATAAGGTAATTTCAAATTTTTCTCATTCAAAGAAAAAACAATTGAAATTGAGGTTTGGTTTGTTTGTTTTGATCTACATGATTATGTAAGCTTTCACAAACTGTCAATGAAGAAAGTAAAATGTTCAAATTCTATCTATCTATTCATTTATTTATTTAGACAGTGTATTAATTCCCCAGAGTAGACATAAAAAAACATCACAAACTGAGTGACTTAAAACAACAAAGATGTGTTATCTCACAGTTCTGGAGGCTGGAGGTCTGAAATTAAGGTGTGAGCAGAGACATACTTCCTCTGAAGGGTCTGGGGAAAAATCCTTCCTTGCCTCTTCCAGCTTATAGTGGTTCCTGGCCATCCTTGGTGTTTCTTGGCTGGTAGCTGTATCATCCTGTTCTGTGCCTCTGTCAACACATGGCCCTCTTCCCTGTGTGTCTGTGTCACTGTGTGTCCTTTCTCTTATAAAAGACACCAGTCGCTGGATTTAGAGCCCATCTTCACCCAGTATGACCCCATCTTCCACAAAGACCCTATTTCCAAATAATGTGACATTCTGAGTGGACATGAGATTTTTGGGGAACATTATTCAGTTCACTACACACAATTTATGTAAAATTATAGAATAATGAAAAAAAACTTACTTGAATCGTTCATGAAACAAGCATCTGCAACTTCTGTGTCCTTTTGTGAGATAGCTGATGATTTTCCAGAGCAAAATTCTTGACGTTAATGATTATGATGACTGTATAATAATAATAATACAATTTATTATACATTTGCTATTTATCAGTCATGAATTTAAGTGCTTTACATATATTGATTCAATGAACTCTCACAACAACTCTGAGGTGTTCCCAATTTTGCTAGTAAAAGCAAAGCTAGGATGTTTTTTCTCAAGCATTCTGTCTGGAGACAGCCCTCTAACCTGTACAATGTCCTACTTCCCATCAACTTTGATGCATAAGAGTTTTTGTAGGGAGATTTGGATTGACATATATACACTAGTATGTATAAAATAGATAACCAATAAGAACCTGCTGTATTAAAAAAAAAAAAAAAAGAACACACCCTCTCACCATACACAAAAATAAACTCAAATTGGCTTAAAGACTTAAACATAAGACATGACATCAAACACTCCTTTAAACACTCCTTTAAGGCAAAACATTCTCTGACATAAATCATGCCAATGTTTTCTTAGGTCAGTCTCCCAAGGCAGTAGAAATAAAAACAAATAAACAAAAAAACAACAAAAAAAGAGTTTTTATATTTTTGTTTCATGTTGTCCCTGTAAATTCAATCCCAAGCAACACGTACCTCTTGCCCTGACATGTGCTCTTGGTATCCACAATGCAATTTCTTGTTCTTATGATATTCAAAAGGCTTGTTTACAGTGGCAACTAACACTTTCAAATGTGAGGTCATAGTCCAAAAATAATTACTAAGACTGTGTCATAATTTTGGCCTCTATTTTAACTGATTCTGTAGGTGACCAGTGCAGGCCTTCACAATTAGCGTTGAACAACTTTATTTGTGTATAGTGTCTTTTCCAAACAATAACTTGCTCTTCAAAGTAAAGTCATTGAGAGCAGATTTTATAAGGATTTAGACAGTCTCTAGGGAAAAAAACCTTATATTTTCTGTTCAAATAAATATGGTAATTATAGTATCGAGTTACACTTACTTTTCCCCAGCAGACCTGGGAGCTCATGGAAAAAATATGTCTACAGATTTTAGATAGGTACTTGACAGACTGTAGCCACTCAATGAATACTTGTTGAATAAATGAATGTATGAATAATACTATATCATGAGATAGAAGTTTCAAGAAGTTACTAAAATTAATCACGGATTATTGTGGCTCACGTGACTGAATTTCATCTAAGGGCAAAGGTTATCTCTCTGAAGGGCTTTTCTGATCACTGAGGTAAGTCTGAGGAGTAGGAGATAATTTGAAGGAAACTAGCACAGTGTCTCACCTGTCTCTATTCCTTCTTTGCCTTGGTAACCAGAGTGGAGAAAGCAGACATTGTAGGTAATAAAATGAAAGTTATTGTATCTCTTATCCAGAGTGGCAGAAAAGGATTCTAGGGAATCAGCGGTATATCCCAGCACTCGTTAAGAGGTAGAAGTATGGGGCTAACCTCAGGATGATTTATTGAAAGAAATTGAATAAAAATCCCCAAAGTATCTCTATGGCTGGTAAGGAGGTTTGAATTCTGGCAGATGGTGCTATAAAGGTTGGCAAGATCTAAAATATAGGAGTGCCTGTATTATGCTTATAAATTGCTGCACCTTCCCACATGAAGATAAAGTCTATCTAGTTTTAAAAATTGTTTAGGGTATATAGCAAAGACCCATGAAGGTCATGAATATTGTTTGTAAATGTTGACTAACATATTTGACACAGTTAACTGCCATTGAGTTAATAAAAACCCCCTTTTAATTTGAAACTGCCCAGGGAAATACACAACCAAGAAATGGCAGATCTAAGGCAACTTCCCTATCTCACACTTTTGCATGTAAATATATAACTGAGCGCTCAGTAAATGATATACCTCTGTGTGTGTTTTGAACAGGGTTTCAAAGAACCCAGGAAATACATTGCTGCACAAGGTAATTTCTCTGAGAGTCCAACATTCTTTTTGAAAAATTGTTTTATTGCACTTTTAAGGAGATATTTCTTACCAGTTTTTATTTGTTTACCCCCTAGGTCCCAGGGATGAAACTGTTGATGATTTCTGGAGGATGATCTGGGAACAGAAAGCCACGGTTATTGTCATGGTCACTCGATGTGAAGAAGGGAACAAGGTAAGGACCCAGAAGGTTCATAGGGTGAAGGTCCAGGACTCACAGGGTGGAGGCTGGATGTTAGGAAAAGATAGTGTTGAATTGCATTTTGAAAAGTCACATATGTATGTGCTTGATGACAAAACAGATCATTCTCTGTCTGAATCAGTATAACACTTGATTTAAAATTTCATACTTGTAGAAAAATTAAATATGCATGTATATAAATATTTGTATATAAGTATAACATTTAAATGTTTCTCCTTCATTGCTGGACTCCTATGTGATTCCTAGTTTGTTGCAGTATTATTTTAAGTTCAGTACACTTCTGTGGGATGATTTCACAAGTACTTGTTAATACTTGAAACACACAGACCTTGGGCAGATAGATGAAAATTCATGTAACGTGACTTTAGGAAGCGTGAAAGCCTCCCCATCCCCCAGCCTGAAATTAAGCACACGCACCCGCAACCACATCATTTCTGCTGACCACCAAGCACGTCCCCATTTAATATGCAGCTAAGCCTGGGAAGATCTTCCTTCTTCTGCTGGGTCATATGATGGAAATACTTCAGGGCACTTAATGGGAAATGGAATACTTTCCAAGCATCACAGTTTACAGGAGACTATAAAAATGTCTTGAGACTTTCAAAGAATACATTTTTGTTTCTTTTGTTTTACAAAGAATGCTTAATAAACAAATCCATTTACATGAAAAACTGGAATCATTAATGATTTTTTAAAATATAGAACAAGTGTGCATTATACTGGCCATTGATGGAAGAGGGCAGCCGGGTTTTTGGAGATGTGATTGTAGAGATCAACGAGCACAAAAGATGCCCGGATTACATCATTCAGAAGTTGACCATTGCAAATGTGAGTTTGCTTTATGACATAATTTTAATTTTCATACTGTTTGTCTAAAAATATAATTATGGAATATTAAATGTGAGACATTGAAGTATATCTGGAAAATTATTTTTTAATGAACTGCAGGAGGAAGAGTTGGGTTAGAACAATAATACAAGCCAACAGGGTCAAGTTAAGTCACTAGTGAAAATAGTGTTTGTCCACATCACATCAAAAGTGTTTATAATGCTGTGACCCTTGAAGTATAAAGAGCTCATCAATTGTGTTAAATGAATGACTGCATTATTGAATTAATGATAAAATGGTCCCTCGTCTCAATGGGTTTATTACCATTATGGAAAATATATACAAATGGCACAGAGACTACTGTAAGAAGTCTAAAGTTCTAACTATGTAGGTGAGATAAAATGTTTAGTACTAAAAAGAAAATTGTCAGTGTGGCCTTAAATAATAGTTAAAATGGTGGTCTTCTCACATATTATATGATTCTGCTCATATGAAAAGTCTACAATAGTCAAATTTATAGAAACAGAAAGTTGGTTAGTGATTGCTTGGGACTGAGGTGGGTGGAGCAGGAATAGAGGTGACTGCTAATCTGTATGGGTTTCTTTTGGGGGGGTCATGAAAATGCCCTATGATTAGACAGTGGTGATGATTTACAACTCTGTGAATATAATGAAAACATTTACACTTTAAAGAAATGTGAAAATATCTTAATAAAGATGTCAAAAAATGGAAGTCTTTATAGATAAGGTTGAAATTTTCTCTGAATTCCATTTATGGGAGGTTTTCTCAGTAATCTAAATTGTATTTCCATATGATCCAGATACATTTGTGAAAGAAAAAAATATCAGTTGCCTATTTCTCCCAAGGCCTTCTAAGGCCCTGTGGCATCACTAACAACTATGCCCTTGGAAGGCTGTGGAACAATCCCACCAGTGGTTCATGGCCAAAGACATGATGCACTAAAGCCAAGAATGTAGAGACCAATACCATTCTGGTTAGGTTGATTAGTCTGACATTACTATTCTTCATTAACTCAGTTATTTCCTATCTGAAAATTAAAACCTACCAAGTTTGTTTGTTTGTTTCTTCTATTATCTAAATGTAGGTAGTTCTTCTTCATACTTGGTCAGAGAATTATGAATTATGTATCTTCTAGTGCTTACCTTGAAACTGAGGGAAACATGAGCTGTAATCTGGAGCTGACTTTCCTCAGTTCTCTCTCTACAGTCAAGCTGATGCTTCTAATATGAGAAATATAGCATTAATCAAATAATTAATCAGGTTTCTTCATATGACAATAGTCCTGTTTGTCTTCCTACCAAGCAGAAGTATTTCAAACAGCTGTGAGAATGGCTTTTACTTTGTATCTTTTCACACCCACCCACCAATCCCCTTGTTTTTTCTGTTTTATTGTTTTTATTTTGTTTGTTTGTTTGTTTTTGGCTTCACAGCATGAAAGTTCCTAGTGGTTTCAGCTACACTTAATCATATGTTACTTACCTTCGGGGTAAGTAATTGCTTACTGGTTGGTGCATGCCAGTCCTGTGTGATGTCTCAATTCCTAGTTATTCATTGGAAAGGAAAATGTAATCATGAATGAAAAAGAACTTGCACGAGGAGTTTTTTGTACTTTTCCTCCCTTCCACTTACTTATGTCCCATAGTTTGCTCTGAGAAAAAAAATCATCTGAAAAAAAAATATTATCCCCTGGCTAGAGAAAAGAAAAAGCAGCTGGGAGAGCAGTGACCCACATTCAGTTCACCAGCTGGCCAGACCATGGGGTCCCCGAAGACCCTCACCTGCTCCTCAAGCTGCGCAGGAGAGTGAACGCTTTCAGCAACTTCTTCAGTGGCCCTGTCGTGGTGCACTGCAGGTAAATAAAGACCTCCACCAAAAGCACAAGGGCTGTTCAAATTTTCACTCCTTGGGGTGTTAGGGCCACCCTCCCCTTTGCAATTGCTACTTTGAGAAACAATCTATGAGGAGAAACTGACACTGTTTTCTCTGCTTCACCCTTGCTGGCTTTTCCATTCATTTTCCTGCCATGATCGATCATACCTTCAACCTTTTCATTTGTTTTGTCAGTGCTGGTGTTGGACGCACAGGCACCTATATTGGAATTGATGCCATGTTAGAAGGCCTGGAGGCAGAGAGCAAGGTGGATGTCTATGGCTATGTCGTCAAGCTAAGGCGACAGCGGTGCCTGATGGTTCAGGTGGAGGTATGTTCCAGGCCACAGTCACTATCCTCACTTACGCCTTTTGGCTTAAATCTTTTTGTGGTGGGAGTAGTGATCTTAAAGGAAATCCAAATTCTTCTCAACCTCGAACAGTGGGTGAAAATTGTTTTCTTTTAATTTCCTGAAAAATAAAGCATCAATTGCAGTTAGAAGAATTTTGCATTAGTGGCTGAGAGTACTGTGGAAGGAGGATGACTATAAAATGTATTTAAAAAAATAATGAAATAGCACCTACACATATCAGATTGGGAAAAATTTTAAAATGCCACAACCCAGTTTGGCAGCATCTCATAAAATTAAAACTGGGGAGAAAAGTATAGGATGGTACAGTGGTTAAAAGCCTGGTTTGGGGAACTAGATGTAGTAGTTTCAAATCGTGCTTGTTATTCTTAATACTGTGCACCATTTAACCAGTGTTTAATGTCCCTGTGCCTCAGTTAAGTCATATGTAAAATGGAGATAATGATAGTATTTACCTTACAGAGTTAAGACACAAAGGGTAACCCAAGTAAGCACTTAGACAAGCCCCTGGAAGGTGCATGTAGTCAGTAATTGTAAGCAATTGTTATTATCAAAATTGTCTGCATTTGACCCAGCAATTCTACACGTATGTATATAATCGAGAGAAGAATTTGCAAATGTGTGCAACTAGAAACATGTTCAAGAATGTTCATTGTGTTCAGCATTGTTAGAATAACAAAAACATGGAAAACCTTAAATATATATCAATATGGGAACGAGCAAACAGAATGTGGACATATGGACCCTTTGTAAACACATGCTCTGCTACGATTGACAGGAATAATCTAGGTCTGTAGCTCTCTGTGTAAGCAGATGCTCAGATGAAAACAGTGACTGAATATAGTCACCAGATGAAACGTATACAATTCAATTTATGTCATTGTTAAGAAAGGACACAAAAATGTACAATGTTATAAATACATAGATATTAGTGTAGAAGTATAAAAACAGATCGTACACGAGAAAAAAAAAAAGAAATTATTTCCTGTGGAAAAACACAATAGAGTGGAAGGATGCTACAGCCAAACTCAGGGGACTAGAGGTGGTGTTAAAGAGACTTGAATTTTATCAGAAATATGTCATTTATTTAAAAATGGTGGATTCAAATATGATAAAAGGTTAGCGGTTGTTAAATATGGGTTTGGCCTATTGTGCTTTATAGAATAATTTTCTCTATTAAAAGGTTCTGGGAAACTCTTTTTAAAAATGTGTTCTATGGAATATCAACCTGCTTTTTTCTTTCTCAGACATAGTGTAAAACTTATTATAGTTTTATATATTAGTAATTTAACTTACTGACTCAATACTAGTCACAGAAGGAAGTAACAGATAATGTTTTTAACTGTTAGGAATGAGATATAAGTTATGCCCTACCTTGTAGATGCCTCATCTATTTACCAAGCTATTTTTTTTTTTCTGGAAAAGAAATCTGAGATGGAATTTGCTTATATCCCATAGAATCATGAGAGCTAACTTCCAGATTATTTAAATGTTACAGATATCAGTTTTCTTCTCCATACATTGTCTCCATATGAGAAAAATTATGGGAATGTAGAATTTATTTAAATGTGATTTATAGGAATTTAATTTATCAATTAATTATCTATATTCTTCGTTGAAATTGTAGGCACAGTACATCTTGATCCATCAGGCCTTGGTGGAATACAATCAGTTTGGGGAAACAGAAGTGAGCTTGTCTGAGTTACATCCATATCTGTCTAACATGAAGAAAAGAGATCCACCCAGTGAGCCTTCCCCACTGGAGGCTGAATTCCAGGTAACAATAGTGATAACAAGAGCACCATTACAGATAACTTTAACCTCTGTCTCTTTTCCAGTGCTGTCCTATGTACTTGACATAGTTCTTGTAATTGGGCTTTGCCATGAAATGGAGCACAGATGAGAGAACAAAGACACGCAGAGTTTAAGAGAAATGCCTGAAAGCACACAGCTACTCCGTAGGAAACTTGTATAAACCAAGAAATCTGATTCTACAGCCAACATTTTAACCATTCTTCATTAAGCTGGTATAAAATAAAGTGTCATAATAATAGTATATGGCCACAAAATTGGCCCGCCAAAGGCAATGTAGCATCTCACCTTTAAAAACTACATCTGGTTTTGGTTTGTAAAGGAAATAGTTAGAGGAGAGAGGAGTTTATGACTACTTAGGAACATGAACTGGCTGGAGCTGGTAGACAGAAACTAAAGGATAAATATGTGTGTCCTAACCTATTTATCAGGCAGTTACTCTGAAAACTAACCTAGGATGTAGCTCACTGTGATTTCAGAGAGTTGGCATAGCTATCTCCAAATTGCTCAGTTATCAAAAAATGTTTTGTAACTTTTCTCTTTCACCTTTGATTTTCAGTTTATTGAATCTTTCTGTAAACTACCAAACTGGTCAATTCAGAGAGTTTCACAGCAAGACCAGGAACGTGCTTTTAATCAGATGCAGAATCGTTTAATGTTTTGGATCAGAGTGGGGCTGGGGTGGGAGTGGGGCTTGAGATAATCACCGTGATGGAAAAGCTAGTAGGCTACCAGCATGGTCTTCGATAGAGGGGTGTTTTCTTATTCTTGCCCTTATAGCTGATAAATTGACCGCCTTTGATACACTAACCCCACTATACTGCATATAGACAGACACTGTTTAAAACACTTATACATTTAATTTAAACCTTCATATGTAAAATCACTTAAAAAAAGGGTAAATTCTTTGGCTGAACAAATATGATTGAGTCTGTGCTCTGTACTGAGTACAATTCTAGGCACAAGAATCAAAGTAATTTGTATGTGGACATGGGGAGTGGGTGTGATCCAGACAGGTAGTGACCACAGCTCTCATAGAAACAGTGAAATTATTCCATCTAAGCAGAAAGGGAGACAGAAAATGAGGGTAGAGATAGAGGTTGGCTGGTAGATTAGTGACGGGAAGTTGAGGCAGTTCTTGTCTAATTGCCTTATTTTTCTCCAGAGAATACAAAGTAAGATCATTGGTTGGGAGTTTAGGGGGACACAAGTGAGTAGGGCAAAGAAGGGCTTATGCTTGAGAAAGAGAGAAGCATATGAAATAGTTCTATCAAAGTAGGAAAGCAATCTCCCAGGCAAAGGTGGTAGGGGTGCCAGAATTATTGGATCATTTGAAATTTATGGTCATGAAATTAAAGAGAGCCAGTCAGTTTTTTGTTTTGTTTGTTTTTGTTTCCTACAGTAACATTGGGGTTAGAGCTGTGTATAGTTGGGTTAAACCCATCTAGAATTTTTTAAAGTGAATAATTGAAAGTTGGGAGGCAAAGGCACTAAGGGTGTTTGCAAATGAATGATACAGTGTGGATGATAAAGAGCATATTGGCCACAGAAAGACATGAGGGGAAAAAAAGAAAGGAGTAAAAACAATATGATAAAGGTTTTGATAGGATTGCAGATTGCTGGATTGGAGGTACTAAAATAAATGATTGGGAAGAATAGAGGTAATTTTCCATAGGAAGGATGGTTGAAGTCATAATTTTTAAAGTGATGCAAACTTTGGAATGAAACCTACCTACAAAAGTGGAGTGGGGAATGTGGATGGCTGAAGAGAGGAGGAATATTATAGGAGGTGAAAAGGCTAAGAAATGAAGAGGCTGGAGTGCGATTTGAAACAAGGTTCCATATTTAGTTTAAAAGAAGGCACCATAGTTTTTGAAACACTTATATATAATACATATTCACACATACCTATATATACACAAACATATATGTGTATAATGTGTGTGTATAATCTTCCTGAACTTTGTATGATGAGCTCTCTCAGTTTAGGTTATTCATCCACTTGACAAATATTTATTTAAGTTATTTATTGGGAAGAAAAGGCTGCAGGCAGGGAGAACTTCCAGTAGAGATTGACCTGTAAACAGATATCTAAAGGGCAAGTAGAGGTTAGCAGATTGAGAAAAAGGGACAAGGATAGTCCAGGTAGAAAACACACCTGAGAATCTGCTAAGAGTTAAAGGACAGCTTAGCCCCTTCCAAGACTGGGGGAAGTAGGTTTGGCTGCAGTGCAGGGGGTCCCAGAAGGAGGTGAGGCTGCAGAGACAGTCAAGGGCATCTTCCGACAGGCTTTCTGGGCTGTACAGATGCTGAATCCTTCCTAACAAAGATGGGAAGCTGCCAAAAACCTGAGGGGGGCACCTTCTCTGTTTTGTGTTTTAGAAGGATTAGAGCAAGTGAGATTGAAGATAAAGAGGCCAGTGAAAACACTGCTGATGCTTTCAAGTAAGAAGTGAAAGCAGATTGGACTAAGTAGGAAGAGTGAAAAGCGGAAGGATTTGAGAGCTCCACCCAGAGGAACGATAGGTCTTGCCGACTGATTGATTAGCTATCCCGAGGAGAGGGAAAGAGTCTGAAGGGCTTAAAGAAATGAGGTATTGATTATTTGAAGCGTGAGCCTAGTCTTCGGCAAATGTTTCATCTGGTGAATTTACTTTGGATCATTTAAAATAATTTACCATTGCTTTTGCAATATGGAGACTAATCAACATCTATGTGGTGCTTTCAACTTATACAAGAATAAACCATACTGTTTTGCTATCCAGCACCTCTTAACCGGGAAACATATTCTGTTATATAATCGTATATGTTCAAATTCGCCATGTCAAAGTACTTATACCTGAGCAATTATAAAGAAAAATTCAGAGGCAAACTTAAAAATTGTGCCCTTAGGGAATGTATGCAAATTTCACAAAACCTGCTGAAATTCTTTTCTTAGGGAGCATCTTACGCTACAATAACAAACTAAGCCAATACATAAATTTTTAAAGGAGTTTCCTTTCTGTTTTTTTTTTTTTTTTTTTTTTTCCCTCAGAGACTTCCTTCATATAGGAGCTGGAGGACACAGCACACTGGGAATCAAGAAGAAAATAAGAGTAAAAACAGGAATTCTAACGTCATTCCATGTATGCAGCTTATTTTATTTTTTGTATCAGATAAAGTGAAGCTCTCTTTTGAATTTGTTTAATGTGAGACACACACACAAACCATTTGGAAGCAAGTTTTCAACATTTGCTTGACAGTAGAGAATAGTTATAGGCTATGTGAATTTTAGTTGTAGCAAATACATTGAACCCCAAACATTTACAATGGACTTTGGAGGACAGACAATATTCCATGTTTTCTTTGTACCAATTAGTTCAGAAATGGGTTTTCAGAAAGACGTAACCTCTGAAGCTGGGGAAAAAAAGCCAAGTCCTCTTTACCAGTTTCCTCTCATCTTCAGTTTATTGCAGTTATTTACTCCAGGGTAATTGCCAAATAGCAAAATTACATCCTTTTGTTCCCTTTATGTTTTCTGTTTATTCCTTCCTTACACCAAGGAGGTTAGAAGTAGATGGGAAATATACTATAAATCATCAAATTTAAGAGATCAAAATAAGCATCATTTTCAAGACTTGAATTTTGCTACTTAAGTATATTGATAGGACCACACCTGGTACAACTATAATTTTATTCAGTTGCCTACACTAAAACTAGCACGGAGAAAATATAACCCAAGGTAATAAGCTGGACAACCAAATAAATCGGATCAATGCATGGCTGACCTAGTTAATTACTGAAGAGGTCCTTATGAATATAGTTTAAAATATGGAATTGATGGTGATGTAGCTAATCAGATCATTTGATTAGGTTATTATAAATGGAAGAAATTGAGAAACAGTGAGAAATTATGGACTAAATACTTTTCTTGTTGAAAAAATTATCTGAGATACCCATTGAATTAAGTAATTGAATGTTAATATGATATAATTGAGAAATCAGATTTTTACTTAAGCTATGTATTTTATTAACATATATGTATTTTTAAAACTTTTATCCATCAGCATGATGATATTCCATGGAAAACTAAAGTATATATATCAAAGATTGCATAATCGTATGCAACATTATGACATAGAGTTATGGTCTATATTTTTTCCTGGAACTTTCTTGGGATCTTCTTTCTATTAGACTTTTAAAAAATAATTTGTTAATCAATGAAAATGGAGCAGGATCTCATTCCTTGTAGATCAATACATGTACATCATGTAATCTGTCACTTCTAAGTGACTTTCTAATTTCCACATGATGATCAAGCAGAGATTAGGGGCCTTTAAAGGAAGACTGACTGCTACTTTGTTTTGCGTAGATGACTTTAACAGAGTGACACTTAAACATGAACTGGAGGTGAGCAAGGAGAGTGAGCACGACTCAGATGAATCCTCTGACGATGACAGTGACTCAGAAGAGATGAGCAAATACATCAATGCCTCCTTTGTAATGGTAGGTCCTTATGCTTCCAAAACCCAAGGTCCGACTCTAAAAAATATATGTATGTTATTATGGCCATGCATTAAGTGATTCTATAAAAGAATGATGAGTTGACCATAACTATGTATTGATTGACATAAGAGTTTCCACTTTTAATGCTATATCTTAACTTATTGCAACACTCAGATGTTAAAACCTAATGAGTCGATACAGAACAAAACAATGCTATTAGTTACAGTTTATGACAAACATGACTATAATATAATTTGAAAAATAATGACATTTCAGCAAAAGCAAGTATTTGAAAATGTTTATACTTACTCATATACCCAAATTGTAAGCAAACCTAAATTTGCATATTTGTATAGTTAAAGGCTTTTCATTCTGATTTTCTGAATATTTAAATGAGTCTGTGTCACATACCTTTTTTTTGATACACTGAGAATTCAAACAAGGAACTTTTAGTAATTCAGTAAATACTTTTTGCATGTACACTAAGTTGAATTTATTTCTTTTCCCAGTTTTCTTAAAATATTGATATGTATTCATAGAATATTAATTATAAGATAGCAGAAGAATATATAAACATAAATTAGAGATATGATGAAGATAACTTGAAATGCTTATGCTTTTTTTTCTTTTTACCATCACATTAAGCTTTCCAGTGGAAAAAATGGTATTTTTGGAAGGAAAAATTGTTAGTTTCCTAAAATAATATCTTCTTAACTTGATTTCACACTATTAGTCAGGTATTATCATTAACTAAGTAAATATCTTATATATACATATCACATTGTTTTTTGGACCTAAGAATCTTTTTTTCTTCACTTTTTAAAAATTAAAGTATAGTGGTTTTACCATGTCATGTTAATTTCTGCTGTACAGCAAAGTAATTCAGATATATATATATATAATCTTTTTTTATATGCTTTTCCACTATGGTTTATCACAGGATTGGACCTAAGCATCTTAATATTAGGTAACAGCATTGATATCAAATTAAGTGACTGTACTTTCAAATGGTTATTTTAAACATGCACTTTTCACTCTCCAGCACTAGTAACTAAGTCTCACCTTTATTTTTTTTAGAGTTATTGGAAACCTGAAGTGATGATTGCAGCTCAGGGACCACTGAAAGAGACCATTGGTGACTTTTGGCAAATGATATTCCAAAGAAAAGTCAAGGTGATTGTTATGCTGACAGAGCTAAAGAATGGAGACCAGGTTTGTACTTTTAAGAAGCTTTTAAGTCTTTCTGTCCTAAAATCTGATTCTTCATTCTTGGATTACTTACTTGATCGCTATACCTGAGTCCTTTTGATCCCTCTGTCTCACAATTCCATTTGTTCATTCTTCCCGTTTTCCATCCAAGCGCTGGCCTCCAAAGTTTTGCATTTGGGTTCTGACCCTCTCTCCTCTTTGCCCCTCACCAGCCCTGCCTACTGCTCACAGATCATATAAGGCACAGCAATCCCAGTGCCACCCTCTGCTAAAAACAACAGTCACATTTTCCTTTTTTTTTTTTTTATCAGGATAAAATCCAAACTCCTCAGTCTGATATTTATGACCCTCAATAATCGAGCCCTATGTATCTTTCCATTTTCCTCATATGTTTATATTTTCCATACTTTCCACCCTGGACATGTAGATTTACTGACTGAATCTTAACACATCATTTGTGTTCTCATCATTGACTTGATTTTCTGACATTCCATGTATCTAAATGTGCCTTCTCTTCCTATTTTGATCCCGTTCTTCTAGATCAATAAAACTCTGGAAAATTTATCTAAATCCTGTCTTCTTTATATCCATGTAATATTTATTGTCATAAAATTCTATAGTTGGAGGTGAACCTGAGGTCTAATTTGACCTTCTGCCTAATGCCTGTTACATGTATTTGAGCCTTTCTGAATACCTCAAGTTATCAAAATTTACCTGGCAGTACATCTTGGTTTTAGCACCTAACACATTATCTGACATATGTTAAAGCTTATTTAATAAATATTCTCATAAGTACGCATTATACTATATGCCTTCTTTTTCTCTCTCTCTTTTCCCTATGTACCCTTGTACATAGAAAATAGTTTTTTTTTAATCTTTCTGTTTTTTCTTTTTTAAAAAAGAAATCTATGTTCAGATTTTCAACGTGGAATTCTAGCAATCTTTTCCTTCATCTAAATTGGGAAAGTCAGGAAATGGAACGGGAGTGTGGACAGGA